AGGGTTGGACTTGACCTTGGAGGTCTTATCCAAGCAGGTTGATTGTATGATTCAAAGTGGTGCCCAAGGGGGCACAGAGTGCTGCGGGCAGTGCCTGACTGAAGCACACTCGGGGTACATCCTTTCTGTTCATGACTTGTCCCAGCAATAAACTGCTCAAGGGTTCTGACATGCTGAACTGAAATAATATAGGTTTGATATAATTGCTGTCTCGTGAGTTAAGCTGAAGCTGCAGCATTGCCCAGAATACTTCGAGTACTCAAAGTACCACTAAGGTACTAGGGTACTCTAGGGTATAAAACACTTCTAGTATATAAGAGAATCATAGGATTTTAGGGGTTGGAAAGGAGCTTAGAGACCATCCACCCCAACCCCCTGCCCTGGCCAGGGACACCTCCCACCAGAGCAGGTTGCTCAAGGCTTTATCTAACCTGGCTTTGAACACTGCCAGGGCTGGGGCAGCTACAGCCTCCCTGGGCAACCCGTGCCAGTATCTCACCAGCCTCACAAGAAAAACTTCTAATATCTGGATTTCCCTCTTTCCATTTCTCCCCATTGCCCCTTGTCCTGTCCCTGCAGTTTCTAACCCAGAGTCCCTCTGCAGCTTCCTTGGAGCTCGTTCAGATATTGGTTGTTCTGAGGTCTCCACACAACCTTCTCTTCTCCAAGCTGACTAGTGCTCCTAGAAAGTAAGATCTAAAGTCTGTTCTGGAAACAAGACAAAAAACCACAACCCAAAACCAACCAAAAAATTCACTCAAAAACCTCCTCAAAGTTTTTATAACCTTTAACAGATGAAAATGCAGATACAAACGGTATCACCAGTTTATCACTCTAGTACACTGCTCATGGACAAAGCATTTCCCCTCAGATCCTCACACATCTCCTGGACTACTAACAAGGTAAAACCTGGAGCCAGGTTTAAATAACACCTAAATGCCACTCTGTCTGTGGCCTGTGCTGGACACAGCTCTCCCCCACCACACTCCATACACAGACCACGGATTTCACATCCAGACCATCCTGTTCCCTGCAGTTCCAAGACACTGATGGGAAAAGCTTGTGCTAACCCTTCAAGGACTTGCTTTTCCCAACCTCTGCTCTTCCACCTGCTTCCTCAAGACCTAGAATTATACAAAGGATTAACCAAACAGGATCCACAAGACATTTTATTCAACTCGTCATCTGAGATATTTGAGCAGTTCTGACTCCAGACAAGTTTGTTTCCTAGTGCTGCAGGTCATTTAACAGCTGTTGGCAGTGGGGTACATCAGTCAGACTCAGAGCTGGGCACATGTGGGTGTGGATTTTGCAGACCCACCTACTTAACCACATCATTCAGACTCAAACTTGGGCACCTGCACACATGATCAGTGGGGGAAAAGCCACCACAATGCAGCCTCAGCCTGCAAGTGTGTTCACACCATGGAACATTCCAGAAACCCAACTGGCAGAGTGAAAAGCTGCATGTTGTATTCCTTACATTTCAAAGATGACGAGACAACAGCATCTCAGATTAAAGAACCTTTAGCCACTGAAATTGGGACTTACTTCCAACCATCTTGTAGTTGTTTTATCCAAGAATAAAAAAAATGAGTTAAAACCCACAAAGTTGGGTTTGTCCCCTGTAAAGTTTCCCATAGAGTTTCATGTATCAAATAACTTGGAAAAACAAAAAAAGCTTTAGAAATCACTTTAAACAAAGACTCGTGGTCTTGCTAACTGAAGCTGACAGGAAATGGTTTCCAGTTTTAGGTTTTTGGCTCCATTGGATTAGATTATGACCAGCACAATGAATTCCCTGATTGGGAAAGATGCTGGTGGCCTGGAAGTGTCTTGGATTAGACTGCCATTTCATAAAGTGCTTGTATTCAAAAGCATAGAGCTGTCAGGAAGTGTCCTTTCTGCCATGGGGAAGGAGAGTCCCCACGTGGAACTTGATCCAGGTCAGTCTCTCCCAGGGCTCACTGGGTTTTGGCACAGGCACTGATTAGCCTCCAAGGCGTTGACCTTCTCCCCACGCAAATCCTCCTGGACGCTCCTCTGGCAAGGGATTGTAATTTGGATCATCTTCTGGGGTATCGAATATTGCTTTCCTGGAAAACAGAAAGGGTTTGTTGGGGTTTGTTTTCCTTTAGAATACATGTTGCACAATCAGACCAAGACTGCTCCAATCCTGCACATGTAACAGTGTCCTCCCTCAAGAATAGCCTGCCCAAACATTGGGATTTAGTCCCAAGTCACACTTGCTCTCCAGAGCCATCAGGAAGAAGGTCTAGAATTGTGTGCCCAAACCAAGACTAAGGAGGTTCAGCTGAAAGTTAGAATTCCACCTCTGGTGTAAGGCAGAATTCCATACAGCCATCACATTCTCCCAGGAAGCACACCAGGAATGGGATATTGAAGAGCTCTTGGCATCTTGAGAAGGGACAAGCAAGAGTCAGATGGTCTCAGCCTCACAGGCAGGATGCAGCACTGACAGGCAGACTTGAAACCCACAGGAGAGTCTGTGCTAGAGACAACATTAGACTTGGAGTTTCCAATTTATTCCAAAAACCACGCTTAACCTCACAGGTTACTTTGCCACTCTCAAAACTAGTTTTAGGGGTTCTATCTCCATAGATTTTACCAAGAAACAAGAATGTAGTGCATTCTCTGAGCCAACAAACAACCCACAGGCTGCAGAGAAACAATCATTCTGTCCAATGTGCTTAAAAAGTATTGTGAGCTGAACAAGACAGTTCTTGAGACAGCTAAAAAGAGATTGTTTCTCTGCACCCAGAGGGACAGGCCCTTTCAGAGATGTTTCCAGAACAGGAAGGAAGAGAATATTCCAAAATTGTGAAGTAAGGATGACTTATAGAAGAAAAAACCTGTTAGATATCTTATATTTAATACCTCAGTCACTCTGTTTACACACACAGCAACTTTGGTGCCAACACAGGCAAAGCTCAGTCAGCAAAGCCTGACAAGTGTTACCAAAGAAATCAAAGGTAAAACCCTTTGGCCCTTCTCCCAAATAGGTTGGTTCTCACTTACACAAATTAAAACTCCTCCTCCCTTGTTTGGAAAAGGAGCTCAGCATAAAAGCCAAGTGCAAACACACCCAAATTCTGTCTCCAGCTGCCCAATTCACCAGAGGTTGATGTAACTGGATTACAGTTTTCCATACCAGCACTTTTTCAAGGGCTGGTGCAGAGCAGACACCAATACTCACAGCACAGAGGGTGTTCTCAGGAGCCTCCCACCACCAGGCTGATTGGGAAAGACATCCTCTAGGAAAAAATATATATGCCCAACAGCAATGCCTGGTATAGAAACAAAAGACAAAGTGATTTTTCAATACTTTTCCTTTACAACTTTCAAAAGCTTCATTAGAGTATTCAGGAAAGAAAAACACACATCGGGTTTTTCACAGAAGATATGATGATATAGAAATACAAACCCTAAAGAAGCAAGGTAACATCAGATGAAAAGCTTAACTTAGGCTACAAGACATGAATACAAGGAAAACTCCTTGTCATTATGAAACATACTGATGTAGTGGCTATATTAGAGTTAATAAAAATTGTAATATAAACTATTTTACTTCCTTTGTTTGTCCACTATCAGATTATGTACCTGGGCTGGTTCCAAGCAATAAAAAGCCAAAGCATCAGAAGCTTTTTCCATTCTTGTTACAGCACAAAACATGCTACAATGTTCAGAAATCAGAAACCCTGATATAAATATAGTAGACAAACTAATCCCATTAGTATTAGCCCTTGGGATTTTCCACATTTTGTGTTTCATGTATGGAACAGATCCTTGTGATTCTTGCCATTGCTTACCCAGGAGGTCCACAATGATGGAGTTCCCCAGGAGCAGTGAAAAGCCCATCAACACCCAGGGTAGAAATGGAGCTTGAAAGATGAGGAGCCCAAAGAAGTTCATCCGGACGTAGGGATTCCTGCGGCTCCACACGTACACCAGCATGATGGTGAATGCCTGACCCAGGAACACCAAGTTCACAAACAGCCCAAAAAGCTGGGATAAGCACTTAAGGAAACAGTTATGAGGTGAAACATGAGAAGAATTTCACAGCTTAACCTACAATCCTGTGTTTTCCATACAAATGGTAACTCTGCTTTTCCAGGTTCATGTAAATCAAACTACTGTGCACCAAATCCGGAAGGATTTGTGGTATCTGCAACATGAAAGTATAATTTAATTTTTCATGGGCAACCTGAGCAGTGCCCTGACCATTTCCATGATCATTTGGGAAAAGCCCAAATGCCCAACAACAACCACAAAGCATTCAAAACCACCTGAACAAATACTCCAACTCCTCCGACAAAGTATATTCATTTAAGAACTGAAAGTAACATCATGGTTTCAGCTCTCATTTACACATCTTTAGCTTTCCTAAAGGAGTTTGGAATGAAACCAAAAGGATACAGTCATTAAAAATCCTCCAAAAAGGAACATGAATACAAAATCTGCCGTGCGGCCTCGGAAAGAACCTTCCTCCAGCATGCGGCAGTACCGGTATCTGCGGCCGTGGGTCAGGAAAATTCAGTGCAAGGGAGGGCAAACACACATCCAAGTGGAAAACAATTCAATTATACATGAGCCTACAACTGTTTTATCAACTGACTGCATCAACTGGCTCCTTCTGGATACCTCAGCAGACAGGGAGATAAAATCTACCTGGGATTTTCTCTGGTGTGTCAGCACTGACCTGATGGAACAGGTGAGTACAACAAAGTTTTAACACCACAAACAGAACTGGCAAAATTTTTGACCACTTCAGAAAGAGATCCCATGGATGCCCATCATGACAGCAGTGAAGTTGGCATTGCTGTACTCCCAGGAGATTCACTTCAGCAGAACTTTGCCTATATGCAGGTACAGCAACATTCCTGCCCTGTGGAACTCTGCTTGCCAAGGGAACCAAACACACTTGATGAAGGATACAAAAAGATCATGTTAAATAAAAAATTAAAGCCAACTGGTCCAAAGAATAAGTAGTTTGTGATTAACCTCCATACCTGGAAATAAGACAAATACAAGGACTTGAAACATGGCAGCTTATTTTTAGTGTCTAAAAAGATAAGCAAGTAACAGTGAAACTGAAACCTCCTTTAGAGACCATGAGTCTAAGATATATCTAAAGTACAGTGACCTGCACTCTAGCTTCTAAAGTAATAAAAAGGAACTCTTTAAAAGTCTATTTCCAATATAAAAAAGTACTAACACTACGTTTTACGAAGATAAGCACTTGCAAACACTACAGTGTACTTTCACTCCTCTCATAATTCAGAAAAAACACTTACTTGAAAGTGCTTAAATATTAACTCAGGGTTGAAATACAGCTGAAAGGGCGTGATAAGTTCTAATTGCTGAAAGAGAAAAGAAGATTTTGATGGGATCAATACAACCAAAAGCCACACCCCCCAAACCTGTAACCCCTTCCTCTGCCAGAAAGAGTCTCACAGGGTCACAGTCAGGACAGTGAGATTTGTGGCAATAAGAAGGCTCAATACTCCCTTCATTGCTGTTATTTAGCTGCACTCTGCACCTTTCTGGGTCTTTTTCCTGTGAGGGTGGTGAGCGCACTCTGCACCTTTCTGGGTCTTTTCCCTGTGAGGGTGGTGA